CACTAAATAACTGAGACGAACTCATACAAAGGCGAACGGAAGCGGAAATACGGAGGAAACCCCTAAAAAACCGAGTAGAAGTCATCACAAAATAACAGGGCAGCAGCAGCAGCAGCAGGTCGTCAAAACAAAAGGGAGCTTCCTTGGGTAAGGAATCCTGTGTAAAACTTGCCGTGAAACGGGGCGTATACTTGATGAAGTCGAGAGCAAGGGGAAACGTAAATAAATACGCAAACACACACACTTCTACACCTAGCTGAGTCAATGTTTGGGCTGAAAACCACTTGAAGAATTATCTAAGCAAGCGGTTAAAGAGTTGCCTCCTTGGGTTACTTCAGGAAATGGGTAACTTTCTCAAGGGTTATTGGGAAAAACGGTAGATTCTGGGTACATTGGGACTTCTTGGACATTAAGGCATAGCTAGTGAGAACACTATTCTGATGTCCACTGTATTTTCCCGGGAAACCGCGAAGGAAAGGCAACACTTTGCTGAGATTTCAGTGCATTCAATTGAGCAGACAAGTACTAGCTGTGAGAATCTCGACAAACTTTACTTAGACCCGTGTCCCGTCCCTGACCCTCCATAAACATGGTGGCCCGAACCCGGTTAATTGAAACGCCGCCACTTGGCTAATGCCGGTGGACGGTGGCCTGGAACCCTGGATGGATGCAGCTCGAGATCCCCTCAAAGCCTCCTTCCAATGGCGCTGGCTACAAACTAATCAATTTAAAAGTTTTCAACAAAGTTTTGTGTGTGCGATGAGCACTACGCACCACGTACTTGTCTGCTTCTGGTTGGATAAATCTCGGGCGAAGCGCCGTGCCACGCCTAATGGGAAAAGCGGAAGTTGCGAAGGAAATTCGGGTTGGCGACGCTGCAGAGGCGGCGACAGCGGCAGCAACAACTGTTAACTAAGGGAACTAAAGCAACTGCAACAGCCGGGGGGAAAAATATAGAAACAGCGCGTGGCGAACACAGCGAGCAGTTGTTCTGCATTTCCGTTTCCGCTGGCGGCGCTGCTGTTTTTTTATCCTCCCTTCCCCCACTTTTCAGCGCCCACTTAGTCAACAGAAAAACACTGGAATAAATTTGACTTTCAAAAAAATTTGTATTTATATAAATAATTTCTAAGGCTTTGTTTTTGTGGGTTTACTTAGTTTTACATTTACATTTTGAATTCTTTTTAATTAAAGATTAAATTGACTTTTATTTTGCAAATATATATTTTCCAGTGTACCCTCCTTTTCAGCTTTACACAGAAATAAACAGACCAATAATTCAATAAAAACCCCGTGCAGCTTTACACTAGCTGTTGACCTTTTGAAAATATTTACCTCAAAGGAAACTCTCCTGCGTCAGAGCTCCCTAATGGCCTGCATCCGTTAGTTTTAAAATACAAACAAGAAGCTTGGCTAGAATCTAAGTTGTGTAATAAAATATTTATGTAATAATCCCCTTTTAAACTCAAAATTTAGATATCACTGCCAGGAACACCCCAAGTCTTGGCTTCTATTAGCTTTCTTCTGCTTTTCAATTTATTGTATAAATTAATTATACATTCACTTTAGCCATTTTAGTGGCTTAAAAATGCCATAATTTTCCCCCAGTGCCGTCAATGGCAAGTGCATTGGCATTGTCCTTGCTTATGATGAATGTGCGTCCATGTAACTGAACACTCAAGCAGCGAGGACATGGACAATGTCTGCAAATATTCGCCAAAGCTGAGGGGCGGGCCGGGCCCGTTCGCATCGCTAAATAGATAAATTGAAAAAGTTGCGCGTTTCAAATGTTTTGCAAAAGCAATTAGTTTGACGCTTTGGGGCCCGAGAGCTCCGCTCCTCTTCACTCCACGCAGCATCAGCATCGTATTGCAATTAGCGAACATAAAGAGCGGCGGGCGGGAAAAACAATACGTGCGCCAAATGGCCACCAAATGGAGAGCTGGAGCTAGAGCTGGAGCCACCGAAAACCAAACCAGGCCAAACTGGCCAGCCATCCAGTTAACTGAAAACTCTGAATTATGAGCCGTGACCGCGGGGGAGCCAGTGTCCTGGCCCGCCTACTGTGCCTTTTTCCCGATCCCAAAACCAATTCGGTGGCCGCCAATCCCAATCCCAGACCCATGTGCCACTGTCCCTAAACCGCGTCTCCTCCTACTTTCCCTCGATCGATTGGGGAGCTGCCTTGGGAGGGCCCAAAACGCATTAATACCAAAATCAATCGGGCCAAATTTCGGAAAATAAAACAAGCATTTGTTGGAAATGCAAAGGGAATTTGGGACTTAATAATACCGTGAAATATAGATATATTATTATATATAGATTATACATTTTTAATATTTAAAATATAATATTCAGTTGATTAAATACACTTTTAATATTCTTTAATTCAGTTTTCAGCTTTCTTCACCATAAATCGGACACTTTAAATGAAATAAACTGTCAACTATTCAATAAACCACAAGGATAAACGCTTTTGTTATGCATTTTTTATAGGAAAACAACAAATTCTTGTTATGAATTTTGTATAGAAAATCAAAGAGACAACAGAAGCTGTTAACAAAATTATGTATTCGCCTAGTGGAACCGACTAGGGGGATTTTATATTATTCCAATAAATTATGAATATTTTAAATAGAGAAACTTTAAAAAATTCATTTAAATATTTACAGTCACCCACCTAAACCTTTTAATTATTTATTGATTTTTAAAAGCAAGCCAGATTTTTATTTAAAGAATTAACTATTCAATAATCTACTCTCATCCCCTCCTCCTACAGGGTATTTCCAACTGGTCGCAGCTGTGGTGACGGCAAAGAATTCCAGGAAAATCAGTTGCGATTTTCCACAGGGCCAAAGGCAAAGATAGTCGTCGCTCGAATCGAGCTCTAATTGAAGCTCGTTTGAATGTACACATGGACATGTATGGATGAATGGTGGCCGGAAGTGGGCTGATGGGCGATGGGGGAAGTGGCGGCCATGGCTGAATTGGCTCTGGACTGTTCGTTCGCGTGGGACATTGAATTAATTACATTTACACGGCTCCTCGACCGCCTCTCTATATCTCGATTTTCCTGGCTGGCTGATGGTGTTTTGAGTGTTAATTAAAAATTGCATGTTAAATAGGCGCTGACATTTGTGGCTTTTATTTTGGCGAGAGAGCTAAATGGATGCCGAAATTTTCAGCGAGGGAAATCAAAAGGATTTCAAGAGGTTTTCAATTCAGCAGGTTTTTATTTTTCCTGAAAATCTGCCATTGCATTGAAACTAGAGTCTATTTTAAACGAAACTCTTTGGGAAACCCAAAACCATTAAATTGGTTCATTAAATATAATAATACTTTTTATTTATTTATTCTCCTCCACTTTACCCATTCTTAGGGCCAAGAGCAAGTCCTCCAGGACTAACGAAGCCACTTACTTGGCTCGCCCTTCGACCGGCTTTAATTACCCCTAAGTACTTTCTGGGGGGCGGGGGTCAAAGGATAACTAATATCCCTTCGGCTTCTTAAGCATGCGCCGGCTTAAACTTGGCCAGGAAACTCGGGCCAAAAGAAGCTTCCCTTTTTGTGAGCAGGCAATTTTTTAATATAAGCTTCCAGCCGGCCTGTGCGCCCTGTGGTCAAGTTGGATTTTGCTCATTTATTTACGAGATAAACTTTTGATTTGTTGTACCAGCTGGAGGGGAAAAAAGCGGGGTGGTGGCCAAAAACATTTTATTACCCAAAATACTATTTTGTAAGCTTGAGAACACCCTGAGCTTCCTTCCTTCCCACCATTCAGTCCAATAAAATAAATTTAATATGCGATTCCTGCCCTCGGCATCGGGGTAATTCTCGCTTATTATTATCCCCCCAAAGGCGGAGCCCCCTAACCACATTCTCCCGAGGAGGCCCACTTCCGCCTCACGAAAACTGTAACGCTTCAGTTAACAAACTTATGGCATCATAAAAAACTTTTTAAATAAATTCTCGCGGGGATTTTTATGGTCAGTTTGTAATAAATAAAAATTCACAACCCGAAAAATCGGCCAAAAGAAATTTAAATTAGAATTTTATGGAGGCCTGGGTTTTGATATTTTTCTTTGATTAATTGTTGGATTATATCAAATAATTATATTTAGTTTTTAGGAGGAGTTTAGGGATGTGTTTAATGTTGCCACACATTCATAAGCTAGACTTTAAAGAAAGTAATTATATTATCTAGTAAAACGCCTAGTAAACTCCATGCCAAAGTAAGGCAGATGTACTAATATCGAAAAGAGGATTCTGATATCGACAAATATACAGCACTCTCTTATTTGTTCCATAAAACTTAATCTTATCGGAAACCAAAGATATACGGCAACCGCTTTTATTTACCACCAAGTTTGTGCTTACTTTACGACAGCACTGTGTATATTAAACTACAACTCGGACAAAGGTTATCAGTCTGTTTTCCCTTATCAATGAAAGCGAAATCTGCCGATGGATGGAGGGTGAACGCAAAAACAAATATGCAATATTGCGCCCTGCGGAGTTTATCGTGGCGGTTTATACTTTGCACCGCCAAACATGGAGCTACTACGAGAGCTATGAGATAAGGCCTATCAGGGGAATTAGCAAACAGTAGCTATATACACATGTGAGACCGAGGTGTAGGTGTCACACACACTCATTCGACGGCATATAATTAATATGCAATAACAACATATGGGCGCGCCAACGACGCCCATTTCTCACACATGACAGGAAAGCCACTCACCCACCCACCCGCAGTAATCTTGGGAGTTGGCAACGTGCGTGACTTTGAAGAAAAGATAGGGAACTAAAAGGTCACAGACATGCCAAGTACAGTAGGGATTCTATAATCTGTATATATTTTAAGAAAAATAAATACATTTCTGAACAAATGAGAAAGTTTTAAAGTAAAGAAATGTAAATATATATAAAATTTTCCTTGAGAAGGATTCACTTTAAGAAGGCCCCACTGTGCTTCGAATCAATATTAAAACACAGCATTATAACATTTTGTGCTTTATTGAGAATCCACTTGACACTTATGGCGCTACAAAAAACTGTTTCAACATCCAAAGCTAATAGTCGTAATCATGTAATATTGTCACCGGAATTGCCGACATTTAAATGCCCAACGTTGGTTTTAAACTTAACGTTTTATATACACGCATCGTTCATTGTTCATCGTTCATCGATTGTTCATGGTTCATCGATCCTTCACTCCCCACTCTATCGTTCATCCTTGATCATTCTTCGATCGTTCCTTAGATGCCCGTGCTCTTCTCCACACCGAGAACGTACTTGTTGTAGCCCTGATTGAGCTGCTCCAGCAGGATGAAGGTCAGCACAGTGTGCGGTCCCAAGCGGCAGTAGTACGGCGTGAAGCCCTTCCACAAGGCAAAGACTCCCTCCTGTCGGGCCACACGGAGCAGGACGTCGGTGGTGCCGCGGTACTCTGGCTTGCCGTCCACCATCTTCATGTTCTGGATACGGGTCTTGGCAATGTCCAGCGGCATCGATGTCATGGTGGTCAGAAGACCGCTCAGCATGCTGGCGCAGAAGTGCAACTTGATGCCCTCCTCCATCTTCAGGGGACCGTTGCGGAAGTAGGTCTTGAACTGCGAGTAACTGGCCAGCTGGGTCATGTTCACCACCATGGCACGGCCTACAGTGGGGAGACTGCCTCTCCACAGGGCGGTGAGGCCCTCCTCCTTGGTGATCCTGGTCAATGCATTGGCCACATTCGTGTAGTTCCTGCGCTCTGCCACCGGCAGCCTGCCATCGGAGGTCATGCGGACAAGGGCCACCTCCGCGGGCGTTCCGATGAAGGCACCGCAGGCGCCGGCAATCGTGCCCATGGCCATGCTGTCCGTGATGCCGGGGTTGCGTTGGAATCGCTCCCTGAACTGATCGTTCAGGTAGGTGTACATGCCCAGTCGGCCGGTGGTGTAGGTGGCCTGCCTAAGCAAGGCAGCTCCAATGCCCTGGTACAGAGCCAGCGGACCCTCCTTGCTCACAACGGTCTGGATGCAGTGGAAAGAGTTACGGAACTCCTTCTTGCCACTGCCGGCTCCAGAGATTTGCATGCGGGTTTTCACCTGGATAGAGAGGGAGAGGTTCAGTGGTTAGGAGGTAGATGTTTTAGTAGATTCTTCATGGGTGGCTTACCAAATCGAGCGGCTGCACCACCATGGTGGCTCCCATGCCCGACAGACCGCCGAACAGAAACTTGATGGCATTCGAGGCCGCCGCCGCCTTTTTCGGTGGCTCCTGGACCTGCGTGGCGCTCATTTTTCCTTATTTCTGGCTATGATTACACAACACGTAGTAAATGCTCTGCTCGCTCTCTCGATTGCTTGCAATTTCCAGTTTTCGCTGCCCGGAAAAGCTCGGAAAAATCAACAGCAGCAGCAGCAGCAGCCTCGGCAGGGGGAATGTGGAGGAGGTGGAGCACCTTTCCGCGACTGTGGCACAATTAATAATGATGATTCTCTGCAGCCGCACACGCACTTGGCCAACAGCTGATACGTGCTGGCTGGCTTTTCTTGGTGTTTGTGGATGATTATTTCCTAGTTTTATTTTTTGCTCGCCGACGCGTACGCGAATGTTGTTCAATGTCAAGCGCGTCACTCGCGAGAGAAAAGCGCTTTTCCCCGCCTTTCCCACGGCTCTATTTTCGGCACTCGAGGCACGTGCTGCTTGGCTGCTATTTGGCTGCGTGGCCGCGGAATGTCCCGTCTTTTTATTGTTTTATTTATTTTCACTTGCAGTCTGAGAAATTAAATGCAGCCAGCAACAACACCAAAATACATCTGGTTTGTTAGTGGGCCACAGCTGATGACGTGTGCAGAGAGAGAGAGAGCCGGCGAGAGCGGCGGCGCCAGTGAAAAACAGGATTGCCAGGCGAGCGCAGTTAAGCTATGTAAATATTCTTAGATATTCGATTTTTTAATATTTAAAAAAGAAAACAATGTAAAACCAAAGGGTACTCTTAAAAAAAAAAAATACTATTTAAAATAAAACAATCTTAATAATAAATTAAACTGCATTATTTTATAACAAAATAATAATAAAATTAAAATCACAAATAAACTTTTTCATTAAAAAAAAATATTGTTTTGAACTTATAAATGTATTTATTAAAACCTATTATAATTATTTGTAGTAATATTTATATATTCTGCATAAGCCACAACACTTGACAACCCTAACCGCTCTCTCAATCGGTCTAGCTCTCTTGCTCTCACCTTCAGCTCCCTAACAGCCCACAAAACGGTGTTGCTAAACGCCAAACAGCTGAGCGCCTTGACCGCACTTTCAAATTTGCGATTGCGAGAGCATTTGCTCGGTCAATTAGCATTTTCCGCTGTTTCTTTGTTTTTTGTTTACACAAATTATTCGCCCACATATCAAGTAAAATTGGCAACATTCGCCAGATTTCTCACATATCGCAGAAGACCCGCAGCGCATTTATAGCACCTTTGCGTACATATGTTTTCCTTATCGTATTTGCTGGCTGCCTTTATTTGGAATCCGCTTATCAACGCACGGCGAAGAAATGTTTGCTGCTGTTTTATCGTAATTGCGCTAATTGACATTCATATTTTTGTGAAATTCGATTTGTGACGGAATTGTATTGGTCTTAAACAGGCATTGATAATAGAGGTACAGTAAAAAATTTAATAATTTATTTAAAAATTTAAATTTAATATGCTGATTTAATATAATAATAACTAAGCAAAAATGTATTTATTTGAATTTGAAAAGCTGTTTTGAGTTAGTTATCAGAAGGTTGATTGTATTAAAGCTTATTAAGTTACTAAAATCCTTTACAATAAAGGTGTTTTAAGCAAATTACATATAACGAACGGTCTGATAAAGTTGTAAAGCCTTGGGTTTGTTAAGCGAAACCTTAATTTAGAATAAAGCTAATGAAATTAAAATGTTCTTTAAAAAATAAAGATGTTTCAAACACTAATCTAAGCTTATAATGCCTGGATTATTGTACCCACTTCCCTTAAACCCCCTTTCTACTGTACATATCAAGTATACGCTGTAAAAATAAAATGTAATAAACTTGTTTTCGATTTTTGTATCGTCAAGTCTCGACTGGCTAATTGACAAGGTAAATACAGCTCGATAAATACTGAGATTTTGATTCCAAAATTATGGGCACACGCCGTCGATCTGCTATTACGCCTTTCTCCACCCGGTCGGCGTTCGACAACCTTCACAAGGCCAAAGATGCTCCGCGGATCCGTGAATTCACCGAAAATGAGAGATAATGACGATGAAGCTTGTCGTCGCACACAACATACATATTATCATTAAATCGCACTCGCTGTTGGTCCGGGATTCATCCATCTAGGCGCATTACGCGCATTCGTTCCGCTTTTCTACCCGGGACTCCTCCCACTTGACGACCTTACTCCCCCTCATTCAATCAGAGGAGACTCAACAGATTGCCTGTCGTTTGCCTGCCATTGAAGCTGAAGCAATTCCAATTCAATTTTAGCAGCGATGACGATGATGACGACGACGACGACAACGCCGGCTTCAAACGGGGATTTTCGCATTTTTTTTCTCTTTTTGTGTAAAAAACGTAGGGAGGAGGACGAGCACATTGTAAGCAATCAGCAGAGGGCAGCGGCACAGAGGTAAATCTCCAGCTGTCAGGCGGGGCTATAGATAAAAACTACCTACAGAACAGGACAATCCGCGCCCTCGTCCTCTTACACACTCATGACATACAACCCACGGCGGAAAGGACGGCTAGCCACGGTTAATATGCTCCTGCAACTCAGACTCTTGGTAAAGAACTCACAATTATGGGACAAGCACAGGTGTGGTCAAATTTATAGCTAATAAAATATGTAATAGTGAAACTAGGGATAAATGTAGAGAGATATAGGAGATTTTTCTGATTTTAACTATACAAAATTGTGTCCCTAAAGCCAAAGGAATTGTACTACTAACGGACCAATTGACTTGGAAAAAGAGATATTTAATAACATTTTTAGAATATTTTTGTACAATATATGAACATAAAGTGCAATTGGTCTGTTCTTAATTATTATAAATTCTAAATACGAGGTACACTACTTATATTTTCTAGTGCTATTATTTTGACCCCAACTGTATTCATACGAGCAACCAGTGTGAAGGACATCGTAAGTGAAATTGAACGCTTGGACTTGTATAGGGAGAAAGAGGCACCCAGGCATGTAAACTATGTGGTTTCGATTGTGACAATCATATAGTGTCTGTCGCTTTTAATTTTAAATATTTCAGATTTAATATGAGGATATGTTCAATGTTTTTCGATTTAAAAAGGTAAATTAAATACGTGTACACTTGCCTTTAATTCAGGAAGCTGAAATGAAACAATAAAATGAAATATGTTTAATAGAAGCTTGTGAAAGTAAAATGAAAATATAAATATATAAATTAATATTATAATATAAAATATACATTTTAAACTTTCACTCATAAATAAGACGTGTTTATTCCACTAATAATTAGCTTTGTAACTTTGACATTAAGCTTCATCTACACTAATAAAATTAGCATCGATTAGAAAAAAAGAGTTTTTCGGAAAAAGCTGCCCTTGGAAAAGCAAAATAAAAACCCTCTTTCACCACTTATCAGCTGCATCCCTGCATTCAGGGAATCTTCGAGTCGCTCGTTTCCACAAGTGCACTCAATGCGATGGCTTGCCAGGTGCTCTGGCTCTGAATCTGGATATGGATGTGGATGGATATGGCTGTGGCTGCTAATATGTGTATGTGAGGCTGGATGGGTTTCTCGACTCAAGACCCCGGGACTCGTTCTGGGCCAATCAATAAAATTTCACGGCGCAGTAATCAAAGCATGTGACATTAGCGTAAAGTTGAATGAGTCCATGGCCCCGGGAGCTGGGTTGGGCTTTTGTGTGTGTGAGCTCGATATAGTATGATACCCCTGCCAGGTGCAGGGTGCTCCTCATCCATCCCCCAATATTTCAGGGGGTAGAATCAACAGTTTGTCGCCTGCTAATTTTAAACGAGAAAGAGAAAGGGACGAGAGACGCCAGCGAAGTTCACCTGCAAGTTTGGTGAACATTTATTTTTGTGCAGCGTGTTTAGTGATGCGTTAGGGTAAACATGGCTTTTTTTTATTTCCTTTGCGTGGGAGTGTATTTTGGTGCACTGGGAAAAAACCAGTTTATATAGCTTAATTCTTATAAAAATATAGGGAAGAGAAAAGTATAAAGTAATTAGGGAAATTACAATCTAATAAGTTCAGTAGAAGTTGTTCTTGTTCTTCTTGTCCTGAAGAAGTGCACCTGTTAGCTTTATGACTCAAAAATACATTTCTTAAATATTTCCATATTTTGGTATGGTTTAAAAAATGTAACCATTCTCCAAACATGTTTTTTTTTTAACTAGAAAATCTAACACATAACTTATTCCCCTAATAATAAATCACTTCCCACTTGAGCATATTTTTTCCCTTCTGTAAAACTTTCCACCTAGCTTCAATAAACTGGGCCCCGACTTTGCTCTTCTTTTTATACCCTTGCAGGGTATTATAATTTCAGTCAGAAGTTTGCAACGCAGTGAAGGAGACCTTTCCGACCCTATAAAGTATATATATTCTTGATCAGCATCAACAGCCGAGTCGATCTAGCCATGTCCGTCTGTCCGTCTGTCCATCTGTCCGTCTGTCCGTCTGTCCGTCTGTCTGTTTCTACGCAAACTAGTCCCTCAGTTTTAAAGCTATCTGAATGAAACTTTGTATAGGGTCTTCTATATACTCTCACTGCTATATATGTCGGAACGGGCCGGATCGGACGACTATATCATATAGCTCCCATACAAAATTTGTATTACAAATGTTCGATAAATTTTTAGAAAAAAAATTATAACTTAGCTGTTTTTCAACATTTTTGCACCATTTTTTAGATATGGCCATTTTATATTATCCGAAAAGTGCTTGTCAAACTGTAAAAGTTAAATCTCACTTGGACCAGTGCTTATCAAACTGTAATCTGAACTTCCGCCTAAAAGATGCCACGTTTTTAATAGAAAACCCCAAAAGTATGCTTTAATTTTTTAATAATGCTAATGAGCATCACAGATGCAAGTGAGCAAAATTTTTCATTCAATTTGGCCGCTTTCCAGACTGGGGTAACAGGCGAACAGAAACCAGCAGCAAGCAACTGAAAACTGGTATAAACTGTTATAAAAACTTTTGGGCAAATATAATAATTGGTATAAACTGTTATATTTCATTTTATGCATTTATACCTATTTGTTGCCGGCAACAACAGCTTATGGCAACAACAACCTTTTTACAACAACATCCCTACAGCAGCCAATCCAAATTTCCGAACATTTCCATGCAAATTGCCCGTTTCCCAAATTGGGGTAACAGGCGAACAGAAATCAGCAGCAAGCAACTGAAAACTGGTATAAACTGTTATAAAAAGTCCAAGTTTCAAACCATTTCGGAGCCGGCGGCCTTTTGAATCCAAATTTAGGTGTTATTTTACAACTGCACCTGGGCACACTGAAACTGATCGTCGTTAAATTCAAATTTGACAGTTAAATTCAAATTCAAATTTGGCAGTTAAAATATTTAAAAAATTTTATTAAATTCTAAAAAAATTTTAAAAATCTAAAAAAATAAGTTAAAATATTAGAAAAAAATTTTAAATCTAAATTGAGACATGAGCTTCTGGTATTTTATCAGAATTTTGGTATAAATTTTATGAAAATCGGACGACTATATCTTATAGCTGCCATAGGAACGATAGGGAAAGTAATAGACAAAATTATAACT